TCGCTAGGGATGGCGGCATTTGCTATGAGGTGGCACTGAATCAGGCATTTTAGGGCATAGGTAGCCATCAGAGCCAGGAAGGGGCGGTGGCGTGTGCTGCAAGTGTCGCCACTGCTAATACACCACCATTTTGGTTCTTAGCCTTCTCCCACATAGCGGGGCAGAGGGAGCGGGAGGAGGACGAGGAGTTGAGCAGCACGGCGTGGGTAGCAGCGGTGGTGACCGCTGCACCAAGTGAAAGGAGGGAGGAGGGGAAAGGGTATTCTTGTCTCTTCACTCTTTTCCTTTCCGCGGCGAAGGTGCTCTTGTTCGGTTAAGGATCCAGTTAGATGGGTAATATATGAAAGGGCACGTGTGTGCATTCTGCTCGAAAAGATTGAAACTTGGCATGGTCTCGGGAAAGGGAGACGTATGCGGGAAGAAGGTTGTATCCAAAGCTGCAATACTGCTATTTGCCAGGGCTCCTTTGTCTCCTATCTCTGCAAATACTACTTTCGCATTCTCTTGCTCTGCCTTCTTAGGATTTCTCTTCCATCCCTTACCCTATTTACATCACTGAGAAGCTCGGTCTTAAATAAGCTATGTCTAGAGGAGATTGCTGAGAGTAACATTTGTGTGTGTATGTGAGTTCTGCTTCCCCTACATTGCTGGAAAGATGTTTACTTGAAGCGTACTTGGTGGTTACCTCCATTCAGTGACATAGACTCTTTGGAAGACTGAAAAGCCTAGCAATCTATTGGCCATTGAATACTTACACTGCTGTTCTCACACCTAATTTATTATTGATTTTATTGAAACTGCCTATATGTGAATAAAGGTGCTCCAATTTATTTGGTATTCATACAGCGTGGCACTTCCCATAATAGTTGGATTACGTGTTCAAATTTTTACACTTCATTTGAGCGCTAGTGCAGCTTTTTCTCTATGGATTTGGCAAGGATAAAGCTTGCCCTTGGTTGGTTCTCTTTCACTTTTCAAAGTATGGTGCTGCTGGTGATTTTTAAAATGTGATTTAGAGAAAATTTTGGTTTAAACAAGTGGTCGAATTCTAAGTGTAATAGTGTTGCTTATATCGTGGTAGGTAGTTGTTTCTGTTGTAATCCCTACGGTTGCTGTTTAGATGAACAGATTTGAGCATATCAGCTCAGATTAAAAGTGTAAAGAAAATTCTTAGTTGTGTAAGAGATTTGGTTTAAAATGTTTTAAAATATCTAATTCTAAATGTATTTTTACAATAGGTAAAGAAAAAATTTTTCCAAAGAAAATAATATAGTTCAGGAGGAAAAATAAAAAGAAATTGCTGCAGATTTTATTTTACAATGTAAGAAAAACCTACAATTACTTCAAGACTCTATATTAAGGTGATTAACAAATTTACAGTGTTTTATCTTACTTAATAACTAAACAAAATTAAGTGTTTAAAACATTTTAAAGACATTTATAATTGTTCTGTTAGTAATAAAGAAAACAATTGCTCTAATTAAAGTTGAAATAGTACTCTGCTTTTAATTTTAAAAATAAGTCCTCATGGTATTTTAATTTACCTCTAAACACACAAGTAGTTTATTGTGAACACTCTTTGACTTCATTTTGAAGGCAGAAAACAATGTGGTATTTTTAAAAAGATAAAATACAGCTAAGAATTTCTAAACTTTGTAACTTGGCTCACACATAAACAAAATAATCTTGTCTCAAATATTTGATATGCAGAAATATTACTTGCTGTAGTGTTTTTATATACATGACTCAAATGTTGATAGAGATTACTCTGTGAGACTCTCCTGCCTCCTGTACATCTACAAAACTTTAAGGCAAGGAAAAAATCTTAGTGATCTCCTGTACTTAAGGATAAAGTTATTTTACATGGCAGCATTCTAAAGCATTCTAAAATGTTCATTTTTGTGCAGTGTAGCCCTATCTATTAAACACTCTTATCTAAAAATGAGATAATTATTTTATAAATTCACAGATTTTTTGGTAGATTTATTTAGAATCTTATGTTTGAACGGGAAATACACATAGGTAGTTATAAAAATATGTTGAGTGACAGCATCTAAGTTTCATACTATCTGGTGATCTTAGATACAGGATAATTCATTTGAAATGAAATAAGTTGATCCCTTGTTTTCAAAATTAGTATGAGGCTGGCATGACTTTATTAATCATTAATGAAAAAAAATCCATCTTACAATTACAAGTGAACTATATTCTGTAAGAAACAATTTGCTAAAATGCTTGTATGTGATTAATCTTATTTCTACCATATTTAGGAAGCAGTAATGTTTCATGAGTCCTCAAAACTGTGAGACAAGAGAATATAGTAGAGTGAGCTCAGAAGTCCTTACTGACTCAAAGAACTCCAGGGAAACTGGCATAGAACATATTACATTATAAGTAGAACCCCAGGAGCCAGAGGTGAAACAAGTTTATCTGCAGAGCTCTGCTGCAGGGCTGATCTGGGTCTGGAAGAAATGGATAAGAGCCACCGGATGAAATTCACTAATACTAGACACCTGAGTCCTCTAGTAATGTATAAATATTCCAACTATTGTCTGTTGTCATCTTGTTCTTTTTCTTCTGCTTTTATAACATATATTTTAACTGGAACTTCAACAGTACAGTTTTGTTCTTTTGCTTGCTGCTTTCACTTCCCTATGGCTCACCACCCTTGCTGTGTCTCATTCTCCATTATCTTTGGTTTACTTCCACTTGGCCCTTTTTTAATTTATGGTTGTCACATAAAGCATCTAATTAAGGTTTTTGTTTTGTTTTCTTTTGTAATAAAATTTGCACACCTGGTTGAGAGGCATGTTTTCAATTGCATTTTTTTCTCAAAACAACTGACTGGCCTAAATGTTTTTAAACTCCTTTAAAAACCATTTCTTTTACAGAGATTTGTGAATGAACTTTGCTAAGTATGGATTCAGGTGGAGGAGGCAGTCTTGGATTGCACACATCAGACTCTAGAATGGCCCATACCATGATTATGCAGGATTTTGGTAAAACATTTTCTTTGTTGTATTTTTTCTTTCTTTTTTAAAAATCAGAACTAAATATCAAAATTACATTGTATAAGGGGATAGTTACAATGAAAAATTACTCTTTTGCTAGGAAATATATTTGTAGGACTTGTTTACTTAGAGTAAAGCTATATATCTATAGTCTACTTAAAACCATTCTTAAACTTTTGTGGAAAGTTGAGGTAAGAAAACTTGGAATATAGTGGTATATGCCATTGGAAATGTAAACCTCAATTTGCATAAATAATCATTAGTTCTTACATGTAGGAAATATTAAGTTAGCTTTCTAAAATATATTTTAATTTGAATTGTTAATAAAGCTGGACAAGGAAATATTTCAGTCAAAGAAATTAGATGCTTATATAGTGACATAGGGAAATTATGCACTAGGTGATTAATTGTTTTCTGATACTATATTTTCAGAAAGTTGTTATTAATAACATTACATTTTGAAAAATAAAAGAAAATATTCCCTATTTTTGTGGACATTTTTCAGTAGCCTCTTAAGAGTAATCATTTTGATGAAAATGCTAAGACTCCATTGAGAGTCCACAAAGAAACTGAATTTGGGCAAGGTCAATCTGAATGATAGAAGATAGAGGTATCTAAAGTATAAGAGGCAGGAATAGGGTAGTAGTAATTGAAGAAAAGATCAAAGTGAGAGTATGAGAGTAAAAAAGACAAATGGTAAATTGGGATATTATGGGTAAAATGGTAAACTGAGGTATTATGGAATTATCAAAGATGAAATTAAGGATGAGAACTCTGCTTAATTAAAAAATTGCTACTACTGTTTTTAGGTAATATGATTGAATACATTATTTTTTTTCTGTTGTAAAGCCCAGAAAAAAATGGATTCTAATCTTGACAGTCTTATTAACTATATGTAAACTTGGACAAATTACTTAATTCACTTTTTTGAGGGGTTTGAACAAGATAACATTAAAGGTCTTCTCCAGTTCTTTGATTCCTTGATATTTCTGCCTGATGAATAAAGGGGCGCAGTGTATATAGTTTAAGACTGAATGTGTTGGGTATCAAAATGACTGTGCAGTTAATTGATGAAATAGAAAAGAATCATGAATTTATTCTGCTAAGAGTCAGAAGTGAGTTGTATTGGTTATGAATGACTTAGAAATGATTTGGGGTAAAAAAAGTACAGGAAAAAAATTTACAAGTAAGGTAAAGGGTGAAGAGTAAGATTTCACAAATAATTTTGTGAATTCTTTGCTAGAGATAGTTCTTAAAATACTGGAACACTTGGATTTCAATATGCTAAATAAGTTTTGGTTGAAATGTTGACTTTAATTTGTTACCTGTTAGTAATAGACATTTTAAAAATGGAAGAAATACAGTATTTTCTCCATTTAGTACAAAATGTTACCTACACTGTAGCATTTGGAAAAGTGCCCGACCCCCTTCATTCCTGAAGAAGTTGCCTGTTAGCAAGCGAAGCATGATTCCTTTCAAAGATTGAAAAAAAATGTCTGATTGGTTCTGGTAAATATTTATTTGGTGTTCCTCTTAACTTCCTTTTCATTGTTCCTTCTCAGTGTTATTTTTCGATGGTTAATTAATCCTTTATTACATCTAATACTTTATTTCCTTTTAGTTTCTGGGGAAGTAGAATATGCATATTGAAATATTTTTGTGTACATTCTTTTTCTAATTTATTTTTATTGAGATATAATTAACATACCATACAATTCACCCATTGTTAAAAAGACAATTCAGTGATTTTTCATATAGTTACAAAGTTCATCTTGTCACCATTACCTAATTTCAGAACATTTTGTCATGGTAAAAATAAACCTCATACTCATTAGCAGTTTCTCTCTACCTAACCTCCAGCCCCAGAGTAGGCCACTACTTATCTTTCTGCCTATGGATTTACCTATTCTGAACATTTCATATAATTAGAATCATATAATATGTGACCTTTTGTGTCTAGCTTCTTTCACCTAGCATAACATTTTCAAGTTTCATCCATGTGTGGCATATATTAATACTTCATACCTTTTTACTGTTAAATAATACTCTACTGCATGGGTAAACTAAATTTGTTCATTCATTAGTTGGTAGACATTTGACTTGTTAAAATATTTTTGATGCATTAGAATGCTTTTGTATTTCATCTAAAGCTTTGCATCTCAGACTGGAGTATGAGTGCCCTTGAGGAATGTACCAATTTGTAACTGAAATCACAGAATAAAGAACATATCTTGGAATACCTTTATTTGAATTGGGGAAAATACACATAGACACAGTTATACTCATGTAAACATGTTATGGGATAGAAAGCAAAATTTTCATCTATTGTACCCTTTCTTTTTATGAGTAATAAAAAGTGAAAATTTGCAAACTACTTCCAGATTTTAAATTTAAAGTCTTTTTCTAAAATGAATTTAATAGAGTAAATCAACTTACACCATAAAAAATTTAAAGCCAGTTTTTTGTTATACAGCTGTTCATAATTCAACTTCTTAGTAGAATTTTGTGATTATTAGTTTTTAAAATGATACATTCTTTTAAAACTCTTTTTTTAAATTTTATGCTTTTTAAAATCTAGACAGAAATTAATGGCAACTAAATTGCTTTTACATTTTTGGTTAAATTATTTTGTTGAATATCTAATTATATCAGAAATGGCTAACATGGGTAATTTTCACTCATTTGTGTTTAGGGATGATGTTGGCCCAAAATATAAGTTAGGTTTCCATTTGTCCTTACTAAATAAATTCTGAAATTTTTAGAAGGTAAGAAGGAACTATTTATATTTTTTGATGTACAATAACGAGCTCAATTTCATATATGGGTCTTTTCATTTTTTGTACGTTATTTTAAGAAATACAAAGGTATCAAACAAGTCTAAATCTAAAGGGACCTTTATTTGGAGTATTTTTGACAATAAAAATTTTATCTCTGGTAATTTGAGTTTCTTTCTGAAACCAGCCGTCCTGTGGTTAGTACTCACTCCATCCATTAAACTTTTCTAATTCTAAAATTTAATTAGAAATTAGATATATTCTCTTTAAATTTCTGCAAACATAAAACTTAGATATTTGCAATATCATAAGTTAATAATATTTGTGAAACAGAGTTTAGCATATACAGGTAGAGCTAGCCAAGTAAATATATTATGTGGCACAGGATCTCTAAATTCCATAAGATTCTTGGTTGGGGATGGGATGGCTACTATAAATATGTAAGTGCTTTCTAATTAAATAAGAGCAATAATGTTTTTGTGTTGCAAATTTTAAATAAGTTCCCCAGTTTACAGTTGTTTTTTTAATTTTTATATAAAAGAACTTTACTTTTTTTTTTTATTTGGGGAAAAAAGAATCTGAAACATGAATTTAATTCAGAAACTCATTACACTAGTTTTTTTAAGGATATTTGAGATTTTAAACTTTACAAAATTATGTAATAACTTTGTCATGTCTCAGTATAATGGTTGCCCTTGGAATCTGTGCCACTGAATTTAATAGTTGTTTAAGATTTTGTTGCTGCAAAAAGTCTGTGTTGCTTTGGGACTTAAATAGAAAAACAGCCTTAGATAGTGGCCCAAGATAGACTTAACAAATACCAAATTTTATACTACCCCTATAGTGAAATTCCAAGTATTCACATTTAAATGAAATAACTTTAGTAAATGGAAAATGCTTGAAATGATGACTTGTTTCTTACTGTTATCTGGTTATCTTATTTATTTCACACATTTTAAATTATTTTTTCTTACTGTTTATAATTTTGTTACCTAGTGAGATAAATTATTAATGCCATTTAATGCTGCTTACTAAATGCTTTGAAATTTAAGTGATAGTTTTACTCTTTCTCAAACTATTCCTTTAGTAGCTATTCACTTGGTTGATCTTATAAATCTCTTAAAAAGCAGCCTCTAGAGTAAATACATTTTCTTCTCCTTTTTTTAGGCAAGTATAAAAATAAAGTCCAGTCTGGAGTCAAACAATGAGTTTAGTTCCCAGCTTGAGCCTAGAGCAAGCTTCTTTAACCGCTCTAAAACATAGTTCATATTTAAAATGGGGGTAATAACAACTTACTTTATTATACAGTTGTTTTGAGGCTTAAATGAGATAATATATGTAAAAGCATTAGCAGGTTGCTTGGTGCATAGTCAGTGCTCAATAAATATAGCTATTGTATGGCTAAATATGTGACTTTGTTTAGATATTCGGTGGAATCTAACAGATGAGCTGGTAAGAGGAAAGAGCAAAATTTCATAGGAGTCTTGGATCTTGGTCTGAGTAATCTGTCAGTACCCCGTGGAAAACTCATAGATTCTTGGTCCAGGCTATTTGAGATTATTTAGTTCAGAGTAAGCAAGTTTATTTGGATTTCTTTTGGATTAGATTTATTTTGACCTGTAAATTCCTACTAGAGTAGAGGCTAGATGAACGGAAAAGCACTTATTCCATCTGTTTTAGAATCTTCCCAACCAGGTTTATTGGAACCCAGGCCAGCACTAGCATTATTCCATCCTCTCTTAGTATCTACTCTCAAGAACCAAACTAACCTTCAGCAGTACTCTGAAAGAAATAGAATTTCCTATAATTTAAGTCTGACTTGTGAAAAGGTTTTTATAAAATATTAATTTATTGTTTATATACATAGAATTTCCATGCTCTGAATTTTATAGGTTTAACATTTAATTTTTCCTTGCTAAAAATGATATTGCCAGTCTGGTTGAATGCTAAATTTGAAACCTGCCCTCCCTGTCTCCAAAATGGCCACTGGAGTAACAAATGAAGAGGAAGTACTACTTGTATACATACTCCTTTTTTCTACCAGATTTTGATTGAGGCTGTGTTCTTTTAGGATAATATGGTGATGTAGGTGACAGTTTGAGAATAGTGAGACAGATACATAAAGATTGAAAGGAAGATTATCTTCAAAGGCAGCTTTCCCTTCTCACTTAGCTTTTTTGATGGATTAGGGTATTAACAGTGTCTACTGGTCTCCATCTGAACTTGGTAACTAACTGCCATAATGAATTGGTTTATAATAGTGAATACTCTGTAGCAAATGACATTCTTTCAGGTATTACTTTATAGAAAGTGATTATTAGCCCGGCCAGGCGTAGCTCAGCGGTTGAACATCGACCTAGGATCCAGGCGATCAGGGTTCGATTCCCGGTCAGGGCACATGCCCGGGTTGCGGGCTAGCCGATCAATGACTCTCTCATCATTGATGTTTCTATCTCTATCTCTCCCTCTCTCTGAAATCAATAAAGATATATTTAAAAAAAAAAGAAAGTGATCATTATATGCAAAAGCTTTTGTACTGGATTATTTCATATAGATAATTTTGTTATAACCTGGTCCACTTTATTAAACTTGATTAAATTGTTTACTGTACCACCTCAGGGAGGCAGAATTTAAAAGAAATCCTCATGAAAGAATTTTACACTAACAATATTTACAAGGGAAGTAGGATTTGATGTTTACCATAGTTCCCAAGTTATTTAAAGCTTTTTTCAGTGCAGGTTAATTTAGAATTTAATACAATTTAAAGTTCCATATGTATAATTTTTTATCAAAAACAAAACTTTGTAAAATGAGTTTGTTTTATCCCCCAAAATCAGGTGTTAAAAAAGGCCTTTAATTCTTATAAAATAAAGAAGTTCAAGGACTTTTAGGCTTATAATACATATTTTATAATATATTAACCTTGTCATTTTTAAGTCACCTAATTTAACATATTAGCTAGCACTCTTATGTTTATGTGTCCTTTTTACTTTAATTTTAATTGAAATACTAGACTCATCAGAAGTAGAAAAATAGTAGAGTCCCGTTTACCCTTCACTCATCTTCTTCCAATGCTGACATCTTCATAACTGTAGTATAATATCAAAACCAAGAAATTAACATTAGTGCATTATTGCTAACTAGAGTACACACTTCATTCAGTTGTTACCATTTTTTGCATACATTTGCGTGTGCGTGTATATAGTTCTATGCAGTTTTATCCCATATACAGATTTGTGTAAATGCCACCACAATGAAGATACAAACTGTTCCATCACCATATATATGTTATGCCAATCTAGTCACACACACACACACATACACACACAAACCCTTGGCAACTGCTAATTTATTTTCCATATGCATAATTTTCTGATTTTGTGAATGTTATAGAAATGATTCCATTTATACATTATACAGTATTGTAAACTTTGGTAATTGACTTTTTGCACTGAGCATAATTTTCTGGAGATTCATTCAGGTTGTTGAATGTATCAATAGTTTATCCTTTTTTATTGCTGAGTAGTATTTCATGGTAAGGATGTGCCAGAGTTGGTTTAACCAACCATTCACTGCTGAAGGACATTTGGGCTATTTTCAATTTTTTACTACCATGAATAATAGTTACTATGAGCTTTTGTGAATATTCATGTACAGTTTTTTTGTGTGTGTGTGTGTGTAAACACATGTTTTAATAACTAGAAAATTCCCTAGAGTGCAGTTGATAGGTTTTATGGTAAATGCATGTTTAGTTTTATAATAAACTGCCAAATTATTTTCTACATTTTGCATTCCCACCAGCAGTATATGAGATACTAACTTTCTCCACATCCTCACCAACCCGTTATCAGTTTTTTATTTCAGCTATTCTAATTGGTGTGTAGTGATATATCACTGTGACTTTATGTTTTACATAAAAATAAAATACATTATTTTTAAGGTCCTAATTTAGATTTTACCAATTTTGTTTTCATCCACTTTCACCCCCCTTCTTGGTTGGTAATGGTTTTTATTGAACTCAAATTGTCAGTGATTTTTTTGTTAAATGATACTTTGGACAGGCCTATTTCATACTTTAAAAATATTTATGTCATCTAACATTAAATACAGTTCTCTTAATTAATAACATGACTTTACCTTTTGGATAATTGTTTGTATTATAGTGGCTGGAATGGCTGGTACTGCGCATATCGATGGAGACCATATTGTTGTTTCAGTTCCTGAGGCTGTATTAGTTTCTGATGTTGTCACAGATGATGGGATAACTCTTGATCATGGCCTTGCAGCTGAAGTTGTCCATGGGCCTGATATAATCACTGAGACCGATGTAGTAACAGAAGGTGTAATTGTTCCTGAAGCTGTACTTGAAGCTGATGTGGCCATTGAAGAAGATTTAGAGGAAGATGATGGTGAACACATATTGACTTCTGAGCTAATTACAGAAACTGTTAGAGTACCTGAGCAGGTTTTTGTGGCTGACATTGTTACTGGTCCTGATGGACACTTAGAACATGTGGTCCAAGATTGTGTTTCAGGAGTTGACTCTCCCACAATGGTATCAGAGGAGGTTCTTGTAACTAATTCAGATACAGAAACCGTGATTCAAACAGCTGGTGGTGTTCCTGGATCTACAGTTACTATTAAAACCGAAGATGATGATGATGAGGAGGATGAAGATGATGTCAAGAGTACTTCTGAAGACTACTTAATGATATCATGTAAGTGAAACAAAGTCCATAATTACTTGAGAGATTGATTTATATATAACCTGGAAAGTTTTTGAGGGATGGATGAGGGGTTTATTTAATAAAAGTCATGGGGGTAATTTTTTTAAAAAATAATTTTTTTTCAAAACTATTGTTAAGATACTTTTTTGAATTTGCTCATATTTTTTATTTAATCAATGAAAATTCATACCCAAAATAAAATAAAGTAATGCAATTTTGTAGTATCTTAGAACAGAAATACAGATATGGAAGGTACAATAAGAACAATGATACAAAATTTTAATGGTAAATGTGTACATTTTAAAATGGGAAATTTATTTTCGGTAGCCACTGCTTTGTTTTTAATATGGCAGGTACTGGAGATGTTAGTTCAGTTTTGCTTAGGAATTTAACCATAATATGTTCATAAATGTGTAATTAGATTTTTATGAAATACTTGAAAAGTAAATTATAGACTCAGATTGTGTTGTACAATTCTCCCCGTGTTGTTTTTTCTCTTTGTGTAAATATGTGTGTTTATTTTATTCTGTCTGAAGGAGGAAGATAGAAATATCTTGTTTTCATTCTAAGTGGTCCATTTGCTTGAATAGCAACAATAATAAAAATCTAATGATAAGTTATTGATGGAGCTAGATATAGAAATAGTTCTATACTTTATAAAATTTGAAGGGATTTGCTGGAAGTAGTAAAGATTCGATAAAGACTTCATTTTTCCACAGAGGATTTTGTTCTTTTCTTTACAAAATTAAAAAAAGGTTGATTGGGAACTAAAGTATGTGTATGTATGTATACAGTGATTGTATGTTATACGTGTGTATCAGTGAATTTAAAACTAAAAAAATTAGATTAATTTAATTTTTAAATATGATTTTGAAATCTAGTGTGTTAACTTTTCCCTCTATATGCAGTTTTGAAGGTGAATATTTACATTGTTTTTAAGAGAATGATTCAAGCCACTAAAAGACTGTGCAAATGTTATCTCTTTTTAAATTAATGTGGTTTACTAAAGCAAGTCCACATTTACATCTTAACCTGACATTTAAAAAAACCTATGGTTATGATTGTATAAAATGTTGTGGCAAAGTTGGTAGTCTTTCTGTACCAAAATAAATTCAATGTGCCCTTAAAAGGGCACTTGTCAAATTAAACTCTTTGGTATTACCATGGTTTAAAATGTAGACATCATATATATTGTGAATAGTCATCCCTTAACATATCTTCTGTGACTTAATTCTACAAAAGGTTTCTTTTAAGTCTCCAGAATATTTTAGTTTATTTATCTTGATATTACTATATATGTCAAATACAGAAGATTTGTATCCTTCTACTTTAATATATTGAAGATTATACAAAATACTGTATTGTTTGAATAATATTGGAACTGCAACAAGGTCATTCTAAGAGGAATTTAAACTAAGGATTTATAAACTCTTTATTCGTTAGCAGAGAAACAATAACACTTTTTAAAAAATACCTTTAAAACTTAAGCATTTTTTAATTTTGAAAATGAGATATACAAATATACAGAAATTAAGTATTTATTATATCACCAATTTTCCTACCATCCAGATTTTTTACTATATTTTATAAAGATGATACTCAAATTGAGACTAGGTACTCTTACCATCTTCACATATTTTATTTTATCATACTTTAATGTAGCTTTTTTTTCCATCTCTTAATCTTTACTTCATTTTGCTTACCTTTTGGTTTCTGTCGGCCATTGAATCTTTCAGGAATCTGAGAATAAATTTCCTTGAAAGGCTTCAAAGTTAAATTAACTTTAAAAGTCCTCTTCTTTGTTGTTGTTTTTTTTTAAAGATAGATATTTTCAATTTTTCCTGCTTTTAGGGCACACTTTGCAAATTTTTTGTCTTAGTAGATGGTTAAGCTCTCCCACTTTTACTAAATAACTTGGATATTAATAAGATAACTGTATCTGTCTAAAGTTACCTTAGATTTGTTTTTCTTTAAAAATACCTAACACCCATTAAGACAGTTATAGGTGATGATTTCTTTTATAAAAAACATCACTGAACACTTAGAAATTGATGGCATTTTTATACACCAATAATGTAGTCTCAGAAAGAGAAACTAAAAAAACAATCCCATTTACCATTGCAACAAAAAAATTTAGATACTTAAGAATAAACTTAACCAAGAAAGTAAAAGAACTATACTCGGAAAACTACAGGACGCTGCAAAATCAGATAAAAGAAGACATAAACAAGTGTAAGAAAATACCGTGTTCATGGATTGGAAGAATTAACTTCACTAAAATGTCCATACTACCCAAAGGAATATATAAATTCAATGCAATCCTTATTAAAATACCAACAATATATTTCACAGATCTAGAACAAACTATTCAAAAATTTATATGGAACCAAAAAAGACCCTGTTCCACCACGGCAATCTTGAGAAAGAAAAACAACGTTGGAGAGATCATAATACCAGATATCAAGTTATACTACAAAGCCACTGTAATCAAAACAGCCTGGTACTGGCACAAGAACAGACATATAGATAAGTGGAACAAAACAGAGGACCCAGAAATCGACCCACGCCCTTGTGGTCAATTAATATTTGACAAAGGAGGCAAGAATATACAATGGAGTAAAGATAGTCTCTTCAGTAAATGATGTTGGTAAAATTGGACAGGTACATGCAAAAAATGAAATTAGACCACCAACTTACACCATACACAAAAATAAACTCAAAATGGATAAAAGACTTAAATGTAAGACGTGAAACCATAAAAATCTTAGAAGAAAACGTAGGCAGCAAAATCTCAGACATATCTTGTAGCAATATGTTTGCCCATACATCTCCTAGGACAAGAGAAGCAAAGGAGAAAATAAACAAATGAAACCACATCAAAATAAAAAGGTTCTGCACAGCAAAAGAAACCATCAACAAAATGAAAAGGAAGGCCACATATTTGCCAATGACACCTCTGATAAAGGGTTAATATCCAAAATATATAAAGAACTCATACGACTGAACAAAAGGAAGACAATCCAATTAAAAAATGGTTAAAAGACCTAAATAGACACTTCTATAAAGATGACACACATATGGCCAAGAGACATGAAAAAATGCTGAAAGTCACTATTCATCAGAGAGATGCAAATTAAATTCACAATGAGGTATGATTTCACACCTGTAAGAATCGCTACCATCAACAAATGGCAAGTGCTGACGAGGGTGTGGAGAAAAGGGAATCCTAGTACACTGCTGGTGGGAATGCAGACTGGTGCAACCACTATGGAAAGCAGTACGGAGTTTCCTCAAAAAATTAAAAATTGAACTGGCATTTGACTCAGTGATCCCACTTCTAGGAACATATCCTAAGAAACCTGAAACACCAATCAGAAAGAACTTGTGCACCTCTACATTCACAGCAGCACAATTTACAATAGCTAAGATCTGGAAACAGTCCAAGTGCCCATCATGTAAAGAAGAAATATCTCGTACCCTTTGGAACAGTATGGATGGACCTGGAGAATATTATGCTAAGGGAAATAAGCCAGGCAGAGAGAGACAAACACCACATAATCTCACTTATATGTGGAATCTAAAGAACTTAATAAACTGATGAACAGAATATATTCAATGACATGGAAGCATGGATCAGGCTGATGAGTATCAGAGGGGTGGAGGGGAGGGGAGATTAACCAAAGAATTTATAATTACATAACCCAAGGACACAAACAGTGGTATGGTGAGGGACTGGGGAGGTGGGTGGGGCGGGGTGGAAGGGGTCAATGGGAAGAAAAAGGGACATCTGTAATACTTCCAACAATAAAGATAAAAAATAATAAAATAAAAATAAAATTTAAAAAGCATCACTGAAAGACGGAAGTTCCTTTAAATAATGAACCAATATGCTGTGTTTAAATTATTTTTGATGTATAAAATCAGTTTATATTTTCTTCATGAACATATTTTTATATGAAGCGCAATATCTTGATAAGGTCATTAGGGGAGGTCTCATCAACTTCATCAGTTTCAGGGGTAAAAGAGAAAAGTAAATGCCTTTTATAATCTTTTTAATATAATAGCTTTATTGAGATATAATTCACATGCCATATAATTCACCATTTAAGATGTGCATTTCAATGGTTTTTAGATGTGCATTTTCAATGGAATTGTACAACTGTTACCATAATCAATTTTAGAATATTTTCTTCACCTCACAAGGAAACCCGATACCCTCTATCAGTCACCTCCCCCACTTCAACCCCCCCAGACAACCACTGATTCAATTTCTCTTACTATAGATTTGCCTATTCTAAAATTTTCATATAAATGGAAGTATATACTATGTGGCCTCTTGTGTCTGGCTTCTGCCACTTAGCATAATGCTTTCAAGGATTATCCATGTAGCATGTGTCAGTACTTCATTTTTATTACCAAATAATATTTCATTATATGGATATACATTTTATTTATCTATTTGTTATATGATGGACATTTGGGTTGTTTCAACTTTTTGTCTATTATGAATAATGCTGCTCTGAATATCATGTACAAATTTTTCTGCAGATATATGTTTTCAGATCTTTTAGGTATATACCTAGGTATAGAACACCTTTGTAATAAAATGTTACTAATTTTTGTTCACTAAAGCATTTTGAAATACAAATATTTTACACATATCTTGACCCCATCCCTGAGCTACATCAAGACACTGTATACTGCTATCTGCTATCGTACCCACCATATAATTTTGGAATATAACATAAAAAGGGTACAGTAAAAGGCCTACTTAGCTTTAAAAAGGAATATTATATTCATTTTACTAAAATAAAATTTTTATCATATTGTGTCAATGGGTTATAAAAGAATATCAAACGTTATCACTTTGCAGTGTTGACCAACAGTGCACCTTACTCATTTATGTTATATTTAGTGCCAATACAATTCTAATGTGTAGGTAATATTACTTGTTTATTATTGGGTAGAATGGCATATGAGTTGAGAAACAG